GTTTCCATCTTCTGTAGATCACCACACATTGCCACAGCACATCACTGTCCACACCACAGGAGCCACTAGCCAAATTCTACCTTAACACTTTAAGGCTGCCATAACTCAGAAGCTGAATTTTTATTTTTAGTTAATTTTACTATTTTTTGAGGTGAAATTCACATAACATACCATTTTAAAGTGTACAATTCAGTGGTATTTAGTGTACTCAGTGTTGTATAAGCATATGCAAGGTTACACAAGGATCAGTCCACGTACTTGCCCAGACTTGTTCTTTTCATTTATTTTATTAAAACCATCCTAGTACAATGTGGTATCTAATTGTGGTTTTTATTTGTATTTCCTTAACAACCACTTCAATTTTTAATTTAAAACCTGATATTCAATTGAACTACTGAAAAACTTTTAAATGTTTGGAACAACTTAAATGTGTGAATCTACTTCACCACCTGCAAATTTTATGAAATCTCAATATAGATGAAATGTTTTGCGACGGAATTAGGAGTGAAGCAGAATTCTCCTTTTGGGTTAGTTCTGCACTGTTAACATATTTTAGCCTTTAGACACATACAGCTACTGAGCACTTAAAATGAGGCTAGTTCAAATTGAAAAGTGCTGTGAATACGAAATACATAGCAGATTCTGAAGATTTAGTACCCAAAAAAAGCAAAACATCTCATTAATTCTGTATACTGGCAAGATGCTGAAATAATATAATCGGTTAAGTCAGATATTATTTAAATAATACTCATTTGTTTCAGTCATTTTAACGTAGCAATGAAAAATTTTAAATGACACATTTGGTTCACACATATTTCTATTATATGGTACTGCCAAAGAAATAAGCCATGCAATACTGATTTTTTTTTAACTTCTCAATTTTAGAAGACATCACTCTTGTATTTCTTAACACCAACTCTAAAAACATACTTTAAATAAGCATCTTTTGTAGCCATGTGTCAGATACTTCAAGGAATATAATATAAATAAGATAGTCTTTGTCCTTGGATTCCTGGGTTAATTCTGGTTATTTGATTTGCTGGGAAACGCCACATTTCAAATTTTAGAACTGCTACTTGACTACAATTAAGGCAGCAATTGGCAACAGTTCAGATCCAAATCCCCGGTTTAAATTCAAAGGGATTTTGCGATATGACTCCCCCCCAGGATTATCCTTGGGGTCCCAGTAGGCTCAAGGATTCATTCAGTCCTGGGTTCCTTCAAAACTGCAGAGTCAGCCCCAGTACTATCAAGAACTGAGAGAGTAAATATCACAAGTATATTTTAACCAATAATGATTAATGCTTAGGAAATAAAAATACTAACGGGAATCCTAATAGCAAATTGTTCTCTTTGATCTTGAATATCATCAATCAAGAATCAAAAACAAATCTAAAAAAACAAACAAACAAAAACCCAAGAAAGTACAATGAGAATTCAGAATGAGAGAAAAGAGTATTTCTAATGAAAAGAAATAAAACAGAATCACATTTCACTAAAATACAAAAAAAAAAAAAAAACCAAGAACCCTTTACCCTAAAAATCATTTTAAGCATCATCTAATCAATATTCCACTCATTTAGTGTCTATCGCAGAGAACAGGGTAAGAGACATCATGTTGCCTCAAATCGTCTTAGTACCTTCACTCCTCTTAACCTGAGCCTTTCATGATGCTGAATGATTCTAATGTTCATATATTCACTTTCACCCACACCTACAATGACCACTGAACTCAATCCACCACACACGGTGTTCTGATAAAAAAGCAAACCTGTTTCAGCAATTCGGGAAAAAACTGGTTGTTGGACATGGAACGTTGTAAATGTTCTATCTCCCAAATCCACTGAAACATTCATTATGTCAGCTACTGTTGTGGTCAAGTAGCTGTTCTAAAATTCGAAACATGGAATTACAGTCTTTTCAAACAGATTTGTTCAAATGAAGCAATACTAAGACTGCTTGCTAGCACAAAGACTGTCTTTCTCATATTTATATTCCCGTAGGTGCTATGAAAATCTACAAGGGGGTACTGAAACACAGAAGAGAAAACACCAGTTTCACGGAAGATGAGACAGTTATTAGCAGGTGATCAGAAGGAAAACAAAATTCCAGGTAGAAATGTTGGTTTCTTAGTTTTGACGAATGTACCACAGGAATGTGAGACGGTAACACCTGGGGAAACTAACTGGACAAAACTGGACTCCCTGTCCTAGCTTTGCAACTTCTCTGTCAATCTAAAATGTTTCCAAAACAAAAAGCCTTTAAGATTTTCAGATAGAAAGCACAGCCTCTACAAAACCACAATGAGGGCAAAGTGTGAGCCTTTTGAGATCTACCAGTAGAAGCATAAGCTGGAAGTTTCCTACGAAGGTACAGCAAGGGAATGAATGAGGAGGGAAACAGGTAAACATCTGATATGAAGCCTTATTATGCATCATGCTAAGAAATATGGGCTTTAATTGGAAAAAAGTGAGGAGTTACCA